TCTTCTGCTTCCACATCAAGCAGTGGGATTCAGGCATGATCCTGCAGTTCAGCCTGGTCCTGGGAGATGTCCTGGTCATCCCTGTTGCTCCACTCAGGATTTCCTACTTCAGCCTCAGCAACCAGTGGCTATTTGGGCAGTTTCTCTGCCAGTTTGAAGTCTTTCTGCACAGCATCCACCTGTACAGCAGCATCTATTTCCTGACGCTCATCTGCATTCACCGGTACTTTGTCATTGTACAGTACAAGCGCAAGTCCCTCTGGAAGAAGAAGAGCTTCTTGACAAAGCTGTGCTTGCTCGTCTGGCTCATCCTCCTTGCCCAAGGGCTGCCTTTCTTCTTCGTCATCAAGACTTCAGTTATTGATGGATCAGAAAAATGCCTGGATATTCATCAGTCAGAGTTGATCTCTGTTTACTACTTCTACAACACAGTTTTGGTTGTGCTCTCGTTCCTCCTGCCCTTTGCCATTTCCATTACTTGCGGAGCTCTGTTGGGAGCTGCCATTGTGAAAGCAGCAAAGCAAAGCTCCAGAGGCAAGAAAATGAAGAGCAGGTCTCTGAAGATGATAACAGTGTCTCTGATGATTTTTGCCATCTGCTTTGGCCCCCTGCACATCTGCAGGACCATCAGTGTCATTATGAAGTACTACAACATGTCTTGCAGTCTCCTACACCAAGTGGAATTTGCCTACCACATCAGCTGGGTGTTCACCATGGCAAACACCTGTCTGGATCCCCTGATCTATGTGTTTGCTAACGACAAGTTTAAGAGGCCCTTTACTGACTCCTTTTGCAAACGCTGGAGCACCAGGTGAGTGTGAAAAGTCTGGGAGCCACCCCAGACCTTCCCAGGGGCTCCTGTGGGGTGGCAGCTGAAGATCCAGACCCTGAGCTTCTTCCTCCTCCTGTTCTGTCCCAAGTCCCCAGAGTTAATGGTAGCAGCACTGCAGGAGTTTCAGATTTTTTCCGTGTTCTCCATTTTTACTGAGGAGTTGTTCCTGTGGACAGGGACTGCCTGCGCTGTAAGGAACCTCTGACTAGGCACCGCTCCCGTCAGTACCCAGGGCGGCTGGATTTCCTGAACGTGGGCTTCCTCACACTACTGAAGTGACCAAACCCTGTTGGGTCCAAAGGAGGAGCAAGGGGAGAATTTACACCTAAAGTCATAAATCATGAGATAGTCCAGTTCCTGCCCATTAATATGTTTTTTCTTTTCCATCAGGAGCAGGGTCTGTGCATGTGCTGAGCTGAGGAGTGTGCACCCCAGCACAGGGGAAAACAACTCATGTCCAGGTACCTTGTTTCCCATGGTCACCCAGAAGTCCCCAGCTCCGGAGGCCGTCCCAACCTGAGTGCCTTTGCACTCTTATCCATCCGTCATCTCTTTCCCAATGAAAGGAAAAGGTGGCAAATGGTGAGCCATGGATGAGCAGTATGGGAGGGAGATGCACGGATGGGGAAAGGTGCCTTATTGGCCTCGTAGGAAAACTGAATTTAGTCTGTTGGAAAGTCCTGAGAAACAGGAGTCCAGCCTTATCCCCAGAAACATCGGTTTGAAAGCCAGCAAGGAGCTACCTCCATCCCACCCTGGGTGGCAGCCAGGGAAGAACAAGGCCTCTTACAAGAGCATGGGTGAAGGACACAGAAACCTGGAGACTGAATGCAGAGCCCGTGCCCGTTCTGTTTTGCCTGGTTCGCATCATGTTGAAGGTGAGCGGGGCCAGACCCCTGCCTGCTGCCTGCTCCCATTCAACGGTCCCTTCACCTCATGGCAGGGAACCAGCCGTGTGGTCTTCTCCTTTCTCCACTGCCCTACGGAGGTGGGTCCCAGAGCCCTGGGGCCCTGACAGACCTGGGACAAGCAGCTTCTCCTTCCCGGCGGTGGAAAGTGGCCACTCTCTGCTGTTTGAGGAGGGAGCCTGGAGGAGCAGAGGGAGGGGAGGAGACTGAGCTTATGGGGACAAAACTGGGGAGCTGGGTTGACTGAGATGGAGTAGGAGGAATTGTGGGAGGCAGCATTTCTTGGGCTGACCAGTGTTTCTACAGATCAGAAATACAGTTTAACTTATTAAAATATTATAGTTTTGTGTGTGGGAGACTGGCTCTTGTAACCCTGTGTTTCACACTGGAGGGTGCAAGAGGGCAGTGCTGGGGGCACTGGCTGCGTGAGCTTCAAACTGGAGTTCCATCATGGAAAGCGAGGTGCAAAAATGACATTAAAAAGCTGTGACATCATTCCCTCAGTGTCGCGTGCTCCAGCCCTTCCCCTGCCTCGATTCATCGCTGTGTAAGGACCCAGCCAAGCAGAGCTGTGCTGAATAAATGCAGTTGCACCTTTAAGTAAGTTTTCATGTGTTTATAGGTTTGCAAACTGTGGGAAAGAAGGCAACAGAGCAAGTACTAGAGCCAAGGCCAGAGAGAGGAGATGCTCTTCTGGTTAAGGCAACAGCTTGGAAGTTCAGGTTTTATTTTTAGGCTTCCCTGTAAACTTACTCTGAGAGTGAGACAAAGGATCCATGTTTCGCTTCTCCATCTCTCAGATCAATCCAAATGGTCCTTCCCTTTTCTGTCCTACCTCTTTCAACAGAACGCCTACAGCCATGATAGTAGCTGTACTTTGCTTTTTGTATCAGCAAAGCCAGACACAGAGATCCTGGTTTTGTCTGGGTTTTCTGAAGATTGCTGTAATAAGTGCTGCTGTTAGGACAAGAATCACAGAATCATAGAATGGTTTGGGTTGGAAGGGACTATAGAGATCATCTAGTTCCAACCCCCCTGCCATGGGCAGGGACACCTTCCAGTAGACC